AAACTTGTTTAAGTAAATACAATAGACCACAGGGATTGGGCCCGTCTTAATTAAAACATTTATAGAAGCTGCCCATTGAATTAATGTTTAACTTGTATTATTACAAAACTGGGATAAGGTTTATACAATTACGTATAAAAATATTACTGATTTCACTCTTCCTGATATGCAAAAAAGATGCCAGAAGATCAGTTAGTTTGTGATGTGTTAAAAAATCATATTTATTTAATTAAAAAAAAATCCCGTATTGATTTCAATATTTCAAATGTTACAGATATTTTTAAAACATAGGATTTATTATAATGATCCAAAAACTATTTATACGGTGTGAAAAATCTGAAACATAAAGCAGTTGATATATCGGCACCAGACCTCTAGTATCTTCTTAGTTATATCGAGAACTTCATATTATGTCACAGCATCTGCGTCCTCGGCACACGTACACTGGCATACAAAAGACAAATAAGCTTGCGGGCACTTCTGTGCTTGACTACACAAATGTGACAGAAAATGCTCTTTTGTTCACCAGTATACTGTGAATGTAAATAGCGGGAAATATGTAAGTAACCACTTGACAAACATGATAGACTTAAATATTAGGTAAAACTGAGTTTAATCGATATAAAAGAAGCGCAAAATTAAGGGTTACCGGGGGGAGTGGGGTGTTAAAAGGTCCAAAAGTGGTAAGTGTAGAAATAATTAATATCTTTTGGTAATAAATAGCGCTAAAAAATAATATGTAAAATAAATTAAAACAATTATTTCCCATCTTAATGTTTTAAACGGTCCAATTTGTTAACCTTCCGCACAATAATTAGAAGCAATTAGGCGAGCAATTTTAGACGTGATTGATAAGACGAAGTCAATCAGGCGTACGGTCAGCAAATTAACTGACAATGAAATCAATGGTCCCCGGCCGGTCTTACTGCTCCAATAGAAATTGACTTCGACAAAAGACAACGTTTGTTACTTCGTTACTTCGGCTCTATTTATCGAACAAGATACAAAATAAACTTGACTACGATACTTGTGATAATAATAAAAATACAATCTCTATATTTTTATTTATTTCTATTATCAGAGGCTGGCGTTATTCCATCTTAAAAGCGACAGTCATTTGAACGTTTTGTACAACAATCAACGATGAAGAAACAGTAACCAAAGAAAAGTGTTCAAAAAAGGCCATTTATACGAGTAACTTTTCACTATTCTGCGCAACTTAATGCTTCCTGATTAGTGATTTGTAAGGGGTCGAGTTTGTCTCTGCATGGAACTTTTCTGTAAGTGGAACACCGCGAAGAGGCTTGGCTATACATAAAAGTATATTATTGCTGTTTTTCTAAACACTTGATTTTGGTAAAGGCGTCGTTGTTTGAAAAACCTTTTTAACTATAAATTAAATTAAAAAAAAATTATAATCTAGTCTTTAAAACCTACATATTTAAATAGTAGTTGAGCGACGCTTATCACGAAAGTGCACAATTCAAAATGCAGTCTACATTTTCTCAATGTAAAGAAACTTGGCTCTAGAGAGCTATAAACCTCTAAAAATGAGAAAAATATTGGAGTCCCTTGGACTCTCGTTCGATTTCTGGATATCAATATTAAAACTCAATAATAAAAAAATCATTGTTTTATTTTCTTTCTAGATACACTAGCTATAGGTTCTGTCTCGTATTCAATTTCCACTCTCGGCTTCTTTCTGCTCGTCATCTTCACAGCCATGTCCTAGAAATTATTAAGTTCATATTTAGAATAAATTTTTCTTTAATATTCTAGATATTGCTATAACTCAAAAACCTTAATAATGATTATTTACAGAGAGATAATAAATCAATAAATATCAATAAAGTTTTTATTATTTTTGCTAATTTCTTACCATAGAGTTAAATAATTTGTTTATTATCTTACCTCTATATCTGAAGTGTCAGATTCGAAGTCACTTTGAACATCGACATTTTCTTTTCTACCAGAATCACTCTCCTGTAAATTAAAAGAAAATATTAAGGTTGTCAAAAATATTACCAAACAATAAATTTAAATTAAAAATAAATATTTAAAGAAAATAATGAAAACTTAATTCTAGTTTAATTTGTGTTTCAAAGTCCTAGAAATATCCAAAAGCTATAAAATTCTAAATTGAAAAATCAAAGTACTCACATCATCACTGTCCATGTCACTATTAGCTTCAATAAATTCATCAGTTTCCTCGACAGTTTTCTCCAGTTCCTTCTCTAACTCTGGCTCAAGTTCCATCTCTCGCTCATCTTCATCTTCTTTCTCACTCTCACTCTCACTGGAAATTTCTTCCGCTTTGAGTGCAGCATCAAATGCCATTTGCGGGAAGTTGTAGATATCATTATACTAAAAATAAATACTATTAAGTTACAGTGCCAATAAAATATAAGTTTTGGAATTAAGATTTGTCTTTAGATCCTTTATATTGAACTAAATTTATCTTGATCAGACCTTAATAATTATCAATCAATTTTTTGGACCATTTTAGCCTAATATAGTACATACAACATTACATTTATATTTTCTAAATAATTAATTGACTAATATAAAAAAAGAAATGTCATGACAATATGACAAACTTGTAAACAGAGTTCTTTTCTAAAAACAAAACAAAACAAGGTAACAGTGGTAGAGCCTGCTTTAATATCTTTGCACGAATTGGTCCGGCTCGCCCGGTGAAATACCACGACCACACAGAAGACAGGCGTGAAGTGGAAGCAATTCCGCATTTCGTCTGATGAGTGTGCATCCCGGAGGCCTAATTTACTCCTCTTTCTCTTCCCACCCTTTTTCTCATAAGGAAAGGATGGGAAGTGGAAGTGGACTTTCCAGATGAGAGGATGCATGGAAGGTGAAAATATTTTCTTTCTGTGCATCCTCTCCTCCGTCGATTTAAGGTAGGCAACGCATATGCAATTGCGTATGTCTATGGCAAGGGTCACTTCACTATTCAGCAATTTCAGGTGGCCGCTCGCTCGTTTGCCACCTTATGATATAGAAAAAAAAAATACTAACTGTTCCTTTCTTAAGTCTTTCAAGTAGTTGTTTCTCAATTGCATTATCAATTCTGGCAGCCACAAGAGCTTTTTCTTCCCGTCTTCTTTCACGTCTTTCTATCTTTCTTTGTATTGGAACTAATTCTTTCCTGAAATATTTTTATCTTAATCTCAAACTACCATTAAGTTTCACATTAATTTTGTAAGCAAAGTCATTATTTATTTATTATTTATTGCAAACTAAAATTGTAGTGCTTGTTAACTATGCACGGGACTATGGTTTCCACAACTCAACATCTAGTGCATATTTTGCATGAGGACATGTCATGAATTATTCCAGCAAACCCAGCTCACAACCACTATAACCTCAACAATCTTCATGTGTCTGGTGATCTCTGGGAATGATAATATGTAACCGAACCCTATGGTTGGACTATTAGACAGTGCTGCATAACATGAAACACTTCTATTAACACATTGTCATCATGCATATTTATTCTCTTTGAAAAAAGACTATATATGTCAACAGATATGTAGAATCCCACAGTAGGAATGATAAGAAAATGTTGTCTACTTACACTCTTCTTAATTTGAGCTTTCTCATTCGTATAAGATATTGTGTTATTTTCACAAATCTCTGCTTACATTTTGATTGTATAAATGCTGGCCAGTAAAGTAAATTCTCATTGATTTGATAAATTGCTTTCTCAAAATTTCTTGATAATTTCACCTTTTCCCATTGCTTGGCTGGAAACATTACTCTGTAAATAGAGTATTCAATATTAATAAAATTAATGAAATAAAATGCTTCACACATGATATTAGATACATACATATTTATCACAACATATCGCTATTTCAATTCTTTCAGAGATTCTCCCTATTATCTTTTTTTAGAAAAAGGCAGGATATTAAAATTGATACATACCTTTCAGCAGTTTTCATATACAAATAAATAATACCATTCTCCTCTCTGATAGTAGCATATTTACTGTTTGCCAGTGGACATGACGACCTACTGCACAAACCGGTGAGGTTATATTCATTACGGCAAAAATGTTGAGTTTTTGTCCTGAAAAATATATTTAAAGTGAAATTTCGAACGGATAAACAAATTAGACAAAATAAAATATAATACAACACAATTAACTTACGTTACTTTATGAGAGCAATGCGTTTTGTTGATAATCGCCCAAACAACCTAAAACAAAGAGGTAAGAATAAAATATCTATATGAAAATTACTGAACATCACACTAAGCCAGTAGCTGCATACATCATCGTGCTGCATCTTGATTGAAAAATATAGTTTTTAATGAGTTTTAATTAAAACTAAATGTTGACAATTTTACCACATGGCATTGGCATTTATTGATATTTGACAATTATTTGACAGCCTGATAAAGAAAATGTAACTTTTTTTTATGACCTGGTAACATAGACCTTTAGGTCATATCTTATTTGGAAAATATTCATTACTTTGGATAAGAGTATGTAAGCAGCAAAAAGAGCATAGAGGAAAAGTTTAACAAATTGTAAATAATAGGGTGCTTAGAAAAGTACCACCTCGCATTTAAATTTACCTCGCCAAGGAAATTATATAGTTTATCGCATGGTCTATTTTAGTGGTCAGCTTGTATTTTAAAATTTAAAACATCAGGCAGTTTCAAAATCTTTGACTAGAGAAATTTTCAAAACTCTAAAGTTTGTATCCTAATGGGGAGACAAATTCAAATATGTATCCTAATTTTATCATCATCATATTCAGCTTAAATTCGTCCACTGCTGAAGGTAAGAAGGTAAGCCTCCATCCTCATCCATAAATCACAATTTTAGTTTGAAATTTTCCTCCAAGTTACATCTTTTTTAACTGTAGAAACAACGTCAAAGAGTATATACATAACGTTTAATTTTTTTTTATTTGTAGTGGTATTTAATCTTTATATTTATTTATCTGCAACTTTTTGTTTGAAGGTTGAAGTTTGAATTTATAATTTGCTTGTCGGTTATTTTTGCTCTGTCTATTTACATTATTTCAAAAAGGCTATCTTATAAAATGCTAAACGTGCATCATTATGATAGTCACATAGATTAGTAAGCTAAATAAATACGTATGCAAATTGTTACAACAATTGTTAGAAATACTATACCATGAGTGACAATATAAAAGTAGTTGTCAAAGTTAGACCTCTAATTTCACGTGAAATAGAGGAAAAACTATTTCACCAATGGCGCGTAAAAGATAATACTATTTATCAAATCGATCAAAGTGGAAGAGATTGTGGAAATTTATTCACCTTTGGTAAGTTAACGAAAGTTTGAGCTTAACGTAATTGTATCTTGAATTTTAAGCACTTGTCAATCGTTATTTAAACCTAAAGTTGTCTTTCCAATAAATTGATACAAACTTCTCTTTTAGATAAAATCTACGATGAAAGTACAAACACAAGCGATGTTTACAATGATATTGCTAAGCCTATCGTTGAAGCTGCCACAGCTGGTTTCAATGGGACAATTTTTGCTTATGGTCAAACTTCCTCCGGCAAGACCTACACCATGACCGGCACTGACGCTTCGCCTGGCCTTATACCTTTGTCTGTGATAAATCTATTTGATATTATTAAAAACATAAGCGATAGACACTTTTTAATAAGGTATGATCAAATTAAAGAATTAATTTTTTAATTATGTAACTGTGTATTTTATTGATTATTTAAATTACTTGTTTACTTTATCAATATACAGCAGTATCTATTACAAGTGTTAAATCTAATTTATAATATATATCAATAACATTTTTATTATAAAAAAGGGATGGACACAGTTTATGGAATAAATTAAGTAAAAAAATATTTTTTGACTTAAGAGTTATTACGTAATCATCTTAATTTCAGAGTATCTTATGTGGAAATTTATAATGAAACAATCATAGACTTACTGAATACAGAGAAGAAAATTATAAAAATTCAAGACACTTTTCAAGGTGTTAAGGTAGATGCAACTGTACGGGTGACAACTACACCTGAAGAAGTTTTCCAATCTATGAAAGAGGTGATTTCTTGCATATTTTTAAATATACCTACAAAGGTAAAGAAGGACTGAAGAAACAATGGACTGTGCGTAAGGGGATATTTGTTGGAAGTGAATTTAGGTATGACAGTTGATAGGGATGTGTGAAAAAGTTGTACATACTGTGCCGATGATATGATCAGTCTAGTAGAACTCGAGACTCTTTGATATAAAAAATATATAAAAATATCAAAGTATATTACATTTGTGGTGATAAGAATTTACCGAAAAGCTTATAAGGCCATACACACATCAAAACCAAATATAGTAATCTCAGGAAACAGATTGTGTTGGCTTTAAATAACATTTTAGTGTCATACTGATAGGTTGGATTGCATTGATTGTTACTAATTCATATTTAAAGTTTTTTTTTGTTATTATTGTATATTTTGAGAAAACGAATATCTTTAAATTCTGTTTAACTTTAGGAAATGATTTGACTGGTGAGTGGCAGGATAAAAAGACATTTACACTTTAACCTGGGTAAGCAAGTGTCCAAGGGACTGCACCATTTTTCTCGCTTATAGAAGTTTCTTTCTACCTTGAATTTCTCGCTTATGGAGGTTGTCCGTGGGGATTGGACAATGACTGCATTTTTATAGGTTTCTCACTTTAAACTCTTATTGAAAAATGGTGGCAATTGACTAAACTTCAGTAAAATCATTTTCAGGGTCAAGCTAACAGACAGACTGGTGCAACAAACATGAATGAAGAAAGTAGTAGATCACATTCCATTTTCCAAATAGTAAGTTAAACTTAATTAATCCCTTAGCCCCTCTTATTCAACAGAGGTTGGCTTAACCACATCCATTAATATTACTGTTTTTTGCCAACCTCACCTCAAGACAATAGAATCACGGGAGCATACAGAGGGTGAAGAGGTGGGGTGCCTGAACGTCTCCCAGTTGAACCTAGTGGACCTGGCTGGTTCTGAGCGGTCGGGCCAGACGGGAGCCACTGGTATCCGGTTCAAGGAGGGCACACATATCAACAAATCCCTCTCCTCTCTCGCTCTTGTTATAAAACAGCTCTCGGAAGGGCTCAGCAAGTAAGTAACTATCATAAAATATTGAAGTCTTGTATGTATATATTACCAAATTATAATTAAGTAAAAACCAATTCACAATTCGACTATGTGTATAAATTATTGATATTATCTATTTGTTATTGATCGAACCATGGGTTTCTATGACCAAAATCTCTGTTTAAAACATATTGATATCTATGTTTTGTCAAAGGTAATGACAGAGATGACAATATGTTTTATACATTTTGGTCTCAGAAACCCACATTAATAAATCAATAATAAATAATAACATTTTGTTACAGACATGTAAACTATCGGGACAGTAAGCTGACACGAATCCTACAGAACTCTTTGGGTGGTAACGCAAAGACAAGTATCATATGTGCTGTCACCCCCGCTGCTGTTGAGGAAACCATCTCTACTCTACAGTAAGTGTTCAATAAATTCTGTAGATATTGTCTAAATTATTAAAAAAGGTAAATATTTCAATCATATAAAATGTCATATGTACTGATGTTAGAGTTGACACGTCGCGCAAAACACTCCGGTAGTAATCGTGTGCCAAATCAAATGTCAAGTACTAAAAAATATTCTATGTTAAATATTTTGGTCTTCATATAAATATTGACAGGTTGTTTAATAAATTTCCATTTGAATTTTTTTTTTTTGGTCAAATGAAGTCTGTCGATTTGCATTAACTAAGACTTAATTATTTAGGATTACTGTCGTAAATACATTTTTGGCTTTAACTATATTTTTTAAAATTTTCATGCTGCATCTTGGATCCAAACTTTGACCTTGTATTTAACGGTTAATGAATCCAAATGGCTGTTGAGGTAAAAATGTTTCCTATAACTATGATTAAGGTTATTACCCATCACCAAATCATTTTAAGCTATGTGTGTGTTAATTTTAATCAAGCAAATTGGCAGACTTCATAATTTATGAATGAAAGCCAAAATTTATTTTCCTAATAATCTTTCCAATGCTGCAAAAAAAAACTTAAACTATATATTTTGTTACATAGATTTGCGTATCGAGCCAAAGCTATAAAGAATACTCCTCAAGTCAATGTGGTCGCAACAAACAATAAGGTTATGGAGAGCCTAACCAAAGAACTGTCCACTTTGAAAACACAGCTAGAAAGCAAGAGAAATGTTGAAGTAAGTAAATAAACAACAATTTATATAAACATTCCTTAAAAACCGAATACCACTTACATAGGTTTACATTATATGAGTCAGAAATGTTCCCAGTACTCTTTACCTTAGTTAAACTTCATCTAGATTGTAAGTTAAAAATATTGGTGAATATCAGGAAGACAACCAGAAGCTGCAGAAGCAGATAGCGGTGCTGCAGAGGTTCCTAAGTGGGCTGGTGCAGCGCGGCTCGAGGGCGGAGCTGACGCGGCCTGCCCCGCCCCCGCGCCGCGCCACCATCTCCGCCCCGCCCACGCACGACGACCACGCTCTCATGCCGCCCCCCGCTCTCAACTTCTGCACTCCCAGTCTCAAATACAAGTATGTCCACATTGTTATCACCTATTCTTGTCTTACTTTGTTTTTTTTTTACATAATATAGCAATCGAGCAAGAACAGTCGTTGATCCTTTGTGATATAAGTTCGAGAAAGATTGTCTATCTCTAATGAATATAGGAGAGGATGAATATAAATTTTTTGTCTTTTCGAATTTACTTGATTTTAAAGGTGCGACGATTATGCTGCCTATACTACAACTAAATACTTTTTAGTGTTCTAATTATGTTTTAAAAAAAATAATTCCATCTGTCAAAACTTTTTGAAGGATCTGTCAATTGCAATTGACAGACCGTTGTACAGAAGAAAATATCGTCCTATAATGTATAACAATAATATACAAAATTGGATTTATGAGATAAACAGATAAATATATTGTGCAAATTTGAATAAGATAGTGATATAAAATTTAATTACAGTCCCACAGTGTTGGGTCGTTCAATGGAAACGCTATCGAAGCAGAGCTCGGGAGGGCTGGCCAGCGTGCCCGAGGAGCCGCGCGCCGTCACGCCCTCCTCCTCGCCCTCTAACATCGTCTCTGATGAGGTCATTGAAATTGGTATGCAGTCTTTTCTCTATCATATCACCCATTCCTCAGGTGATCGACGAACGCACGCAAACAGTCGTAAAAAATTATGTTGGCCATACTATTGTTTTTAAATATCAGGCTAACTTTGCCTATTTGGCTATTTATGTTATAAAGCTGCAAAGCTAGACATTACAAAGTATTGCATTGCTTTACGTCGCTTTTGTCGTTCATCTTTGATGTCGGGTTATTGTAAAAGTAATCGATGGTTTGATATTAGAGTTAGCTTGAATAAATAAATTTGAAAGAAATTTAGCACAGAATAGAAGTTTTTAGTGGGTTATGTACTCTTAGTATTTGTAGCTATATATTAATATAGTATTTTGTCTAGAATACGATATTTAATTACGCACTAGTAATAATGGTAATGCATATCGTATTGTTTGTTAACAATTATTTATCAGAACACATTTTTATATGAAATATGTAAATTAAACGCGCGTTTATTCGATTTAGTGGATAATAACACACCCTGTAAAAAATTACTATTTTTTTTTAAATTTCATAATTCAGAACAATCTGAGTGAGTAGTTACAGTACGTTGTATGTATATTGTCCAGACAGCGATGACGACACACCCGCGGACGTGCAAACCTGTTCACCATATCACAAATGTTTTAGTAAGTATTTTAGTTTTTTAGTTAGAACAGTAGTAGAAATTTATATAGTCATTGTGTATTTTAGATATGTAATGTATAGTAGTTAGGACGTCGGTGGCTCAGCGCTTAAAGCACTTGACTTGTAATCTGCAAGTCCTGGTTTCGAATCCCGCCATGAACCAATGTATTTTTCGATTTCGACTTACATATGTACATTTATCTGACGTTCTTACGGCAAAGGAAACATCGTGATGCAACCTGCACATATCTGTGTTAAAATTCAAAGATATGTGTGAAGTCAACCAACCCGCATTGGGCCAGTGTGGTTGACTTTGGCCTAAAACCCCTAACTTAGGGTAGGCTCCGAGCCCCTCAGTGGGGACTTATAGTGTGCTGATGATGAATGTATAGTATAATTTTAATGATTATTTTTAACGTGATTAGTAATTTTTGTCCACAAATCGCGTATCTCACTTTACTTTTCATATTTCTTCAATCTTCCTGTCCTTATCTTAAAAATTTCGTTCTTGTAGCAAAATATCGTGGTATTACCCTTCGGCATAAATTAGACATTTTATATTTTCAGAGTCAACAAAAACCCCGCCGTGCATACTCAGAAAGAACGCACAAGAAGCTGAAAGAAACCTTAGGGATATCGTGGAGCTCACGGAACGGGAGAAAATATATAAACCAGATGTGGTAATTCTAATTTCGTTCTAAAATCTAAAAATCGATATAATGGATGCAGGCTGGCAGATTTTTTTTTCTAACCGTTTATTTTGTTTAAGGTTGAATTACTGGAAAAACTAGAAAATAACTCAACTGTAATAGCTAAGTTAGAAGAAGAGATTTCTTTACTAACCAGTATTAATAAAGATAATGAATTGAAAGTGGAAGAATTAAATGAAAAAATAAGAAAAAATGAAGCGGAGGTTAGAAGTTTAACTACAGATAAGGTAGTATATAGATTTTGTATTTTTAAAGAAACAAATATGGTATTATACTCATTGATTTTATTAAATTTTTAATTTGATATTAGATGCAATATGCGACAAGTAGAGTAATATAGATTAAAAACTAGAGTAACTGGTTAAATTGATGTACTGTAATTAAGTAGTCTTTTTTTTATAATGTGGCAAACGAGCGATCGGCCAACTGAAATCGCTGAAATAGCGAAGTGACCGTTGCCCATAGACATACGCAATTGCATATGCGTTGCCTACTTTTAATCGACGGAGGAGAGGATGCACAGAAAGAAAACATTTCCATGTATTCTCTCATCCGAAAAGTCCACTTCCACTTCCCATCCTTATAAGAAAAAGTGTAGGAAGGGAAAGAGGACTAAATTAGGCCTCCGGGACGAGTCTGAGTATAGATAATTCTCATTATTACCTTCACAAACTTGTACATCACAGACAATGTAATAACAGACCTTTATTATTCACTTTTGATAAATAGATATTGAATTATAATATGATATTAAAAATGTAATGTTTTACAGCTCCAATTAGAAGAGCGGTGTAAAGAATTTGTTACAAAACTCACAGATTGGGAAGTAACATATGAGACCCTGAAGAAAAAGTCAAAGACTAGAGAGGATGAACTGCTTTCCAGATTGGAAGAGTATTCTAATGTAGCGAAACCCGTCACTAACTGTAAGTTAATATTAATCTACCACTACATGAACCCAATATGTACCTCTTAAATTTAGAAATTTTCAGTACCACTGTTCGTATATCCAAACTACATGCCGCCCGCGATTCCGTCTGCGCACAGTTAAATAAAAACTTAATAAGTAACCTATGTGTTCTATAATATATTGACCTCTATGTCAAATTTCAGATACATCCTTGCAGCGATTCTGGAGATACCTTCCATCCATCTAAAAATTCGCATTTATAATATTAGTATGATAATATAATTACTGTTTACGCAGGTAAATCACCAGAAATCATCGTACTTAAAGATATGACAAAGACCTTATCAATAGTCGAAAGTGATAACAGTGTAAACACTGAAAATTCAACATGCGATAGTACATCTGAAAATATTCATAGAATTATCACAGATCTTAAAGAACAACTTTCAGTAAGGGATAAAAATATATCAGAATTAGAAGCCAATCTACTTGAACAGAGCCAAAAAGTTTTCACTTTAGAAAGTAAAACAGAAGAACTAGATGGATTATTAGATTCGTTTAAGGATAAGTTAGCAAATTCAGAAAAAGAGATTTCTCTTCATAAAACTACAATAGAAACATTGAATAATATAGTTGAAAATCAAAAGGGTAATCTGGACGCGGCGACTAAAGATTTACAGTCTTATAATGACACGATTCAAGAATTGCGGAACAAATTATCTGGCAAACAAAATGTGCGGTATGCTCTCGATGACAACGAAATAGCACAATTAATCGCTATTGAGGAAAAAAGTATTGCCAATAATGAAAATGTAGCTAATATTATCAAGTCTTTGAACACTGCTCTAGAAATTAAAAGTAACGAAATAGAACTACTAAAATCTATTATTCAGAAAAACGAAGAAAATGATGATAATTCTTCTAAAGAAAAAATGGAATCAGATGCCCAAATTAAAGAATTACAGGGAAAAGTAACAAAATTAACGCAACAGCTACAAGATTTTCAAATTGAAAAAGAAGAACTTTTATTAGGGAAAACAAACTTATTAATTTCTATGGAAGATCTGAACAACGAATACGCAATTTGTGCAGAGAATAAAATTGAATTAGAAAATAAAATAAAGATTTATGAAACAGACATAAGAGATATAAAGGAAAGAAATGAAGAATTACTAAATAGCTTAAATGAAAAAGTAGACGCCGTAACAGAATTAACAGACAAGAACACGGAACTAATAACTCAGCTTAAAGAATACACAGACAAAATTAGTCATTTACAAAACAACCTGCAACTTAAAGATGCCGAGATTGCTTCCATACGTGACTATAACAATGATAATATTAATAAAAATCAAACATTAATTTTGGAATTAGATGATATTCTGTCCATTATGAAAGGTAAAAAAGACGACGGCCTGATAAATAATTCACGCGATATTTATGAAGTGGTAAATGAAAAATTAACAGACCTACGTAATAATGTATCTGCAGTAGTCAATGAAAGAGACAATATTATAGGGCAACATACTATATTGACTACTACAGTAATGAGTGCAAGTAAACAATTTATAGCGGCATTAAAATCAGCTATTAAAGACCTTGAAACGATAAAAATAACGTTGACCGAATCAAAACCCAATGAGAATGGAACACATGAAGAAGATCTAGACATACAGGAAGTAATGGAAGATTTATCATTTTCAGAAACTCAATCTTTACTAGATAAAATATATGGACATATAACTCATATGAAACAAAAGATTGAAAGTATTAAAATAGAATCGAAATCCAGTATTGATACTTTTACAAATTTATTAGAAACACGAGATTCAAATATAGCTGAACTTGTTAATCAATTAAAAGAATTAAATGAAGAATTTGACAAAAAATCACTGAAACTTATGTCTATTGAAGAAGAATGTAATACAGCTAAGAAAGATAGCTACGAAATAGTTAATAATGTCGTCACTACGATTTTAACAATGGCTCAAAAGTTAAATATTGAGCATAACATTCCATGTCGTAGTGAATCTGACGAACCGAGAACTTATTTAAGCGACCACATTGTGCCTGTCCTAGACAAAGTAGTTGATCTCTTCTTGATAAATAATACCGAAAAAGACGAAAATTTAATCCATAATAATAAAGAGTTTGAACGATTGACTGAACAAAACGTAATATTAAATAAAGAAATGCTACAAATAGAAGAAAGTAGAAATGAACTATCAAGAGATTTACATGAAGAACGAGAAAATAATAAAGGTTTAATTCAAAATTTAAGGAATACATCAAATTTACTTAACGATTTGAAAGAAGAATTAAAGATAAAGGTCGACGAAATCGATTCCATGAAAAACAAAATGATCGAATGGAAAGATAAATTTACTAAAATTGAATTAATGAGAAAAAAACAAAATGAAGTCTACGAGGAAAATATTAGATTAAAAGAAAAATGTCGGAATTACGAATTAATCCAAAAGGAATTTGAAATAAATTCCGACTCTTTCCTTACAGAGATGAAAGAAAAATGTGCCAAAGAAACTATGCAAAGTGATCGAGAAAAAGATTCTAAATCTCCGCTTAGTTTATTGACTCTTAGCTGCAACAGAATAATACAGATTATACAGGACCGCGATGACGCCTCGCAGACTGAAACATCAGTCAGTTCTAATTCAAATCTAGACGAAAAGAGTTCAGAATCTTCGTTTACTTGCTATCAGTGCAATAAACTAAAAACCGATTTAGAGTCTGCACATAATAAAAATCATATCCTAATAAATCTCGTGGAAGAATCAAAATCGATGAACGAAAACTTAATGCAGGAAATAAAGAATGCATCTGTGGAAATAAAGTCTCTTGTGGATTATACAAATGATTTACATAAACGAATACTTAGTCATAAAACAAATCTGTCCACTTTAACCGCAACAACTTATGCTGAGAACAAGTCTTTAAGTTCCCAAGTGAAATCTTTACAACACCATCACACGCGATTTCATACTGTCTGCCAGAGAGATCTGCCAGAATTAAAAGAGCAGTTGCACGAACTTATGAAGTTACTTAGAGAAGAAAATTTAGAAGGGAAATTGAATGCTAGCTTTAAAAGATTCTCTTTGCCTAGTCACTTAGAAAATAGTTCGATACTGTACAGTTTTAAAAATGAATCTACATTAGATGGTGATCTTTTAATGTTGGATACAAATGTGACGTTAGTAAACTCAGTCGATAATACTCTCACAGGTCATGACCAAACTTGTTTCGAGGCAGCTGAGGCTTGTGTATACAATGATACAGCTTGTCAGACCACCGCCTGCTATCTACATGAATCGTATGAAATTTGCAATAGTAACCTTGGAATGATTCAATCATTAAAATTAGAAAATCAAAAACTCAGCGATATGGTTCAAAAATTAAAGGAAACAAATATAACCAAAGTTGACGTTGAAACTAGTCCTATTAAAGATTTATCTTTTGAAAGCAAACCTAAAATTAACTTAATATGTCAAGATTGTAAACACCATGAAGAAAAATATGAACAATTAATTGAAGAAATTGAAGAATGTAAACTGAAATTTACTAATTTGTCCGCGCAGAAAGATGATATTGAGAAAAAATATAATTTAGAAATTCAATCCACTGAAGGTTTGATGAGAAAATTAAACAATTTTGAAAAAGAACTTGCTAACAAAAACAAGAATATAGAAAAACTTACAACATCATTAAAAGATACAAAAGAAAGACTCGATAGCGTTCAAGAAGAAAACGAAAACTTATCAACAGAAATTATAGAATCACTCAGTACAGTCGATAGTCTTAAAATGGAACTTGATTCTATTAAAAAGAATATTTCAAGCAAAGACACAATTACGCCTGTGGACAATGTCGAAAATGTGGAAAAAGTAGATAAGGAATGTCCAGAGTGTCTTAATAAACAGGAAATTATTAAAATTCTTCAAAACAAAAACTCAAATACACACACACGTTTGAACAGAAGTTACAGTGACTCCGATAGCTCGTCAAGATACAATAAAATATGTACATTACAAAACGAAATAGTTGCGGGCCGAGAAGATTGTAACGAATTGAAAGAAGAAGTAACTACTATTAAAAACCATTTAGAGATAGGTAATTTATCAATGGGCGAGGCTATGGATTTGGATGAAAGTATTAGCGATGTAAACGTTATAGAATTAAATAGATCATATATGCCAGAAATATCTGAAGAGCAAGCTTCAGATATTTATAGCCTTGACAAGACGGATTGTTACAATTATTACATTGAATTAATCGGTGAAGGGAGAACGAATCTTAATAAGGACGTAAAAATTATTGATATCATGAAAATGTTGTATTCAAAATTGATGACAATTCACGACAATCGAATTGATAATTTGGCTAATAAATTAAGAGATTACGAATCTTTAAAACATGAATTGCAAGATAAAATAAGTAATTTAAGCAAAGCATTAGACGAAAGTAACAGAAACACACAAAAGATTGAAGGCAAATTTTCAGTACTAACAGATAATATTAATAAATTGAACAAAGCAATTAGATCAGTTAAAGGCAATGATGCAAATGCAATCGAATTATTCAAAACGCAGATTCTAATGGTACTTGACACTGAATTCTCTACTAATACTCTTCCTATTTTCGAGACTATTTATAATAATAATTTAAGCATTTTAAAAAGTACTATGGAAGAATGTGTAAAACTACAAGAAAATTCTCAAAAACTGGATAACGAACTTAAAACATCTAAAAATGATTTAATAAAATTAAAAGATCAACTAACTGCCAAAGAAAATGAATACAACATACTATTAGCTGAAAAAGAAAAAATCAATGAAGTTAGTAATGCTTTAACAAAGGATTTACATAAAAAGGAAAAAGATTTTATAATAGCGATATCTGAAGGTTATCAAAAGCTTGTTGAAAAGAATATACTAGAAGAAAACTATTTTGATGCAGCAATTCCTACAGTTAAAAATGTACATAATTTATTCGAAAAATTAGCTAATCAAAGTAAAGAAAAACCCTTGAAGGGTGATGCAAATCAAATAGAATGTCTTAAACAGGAGATTGAAATTTCCAAACATATAATAGAACAGAGAAATAAAGAAATAAAAATTCAAACAGAGCTAATAGAAAAAATACAAATACAAAATGAAAAAATCGAAAAAGAACTTAAAGAAAACGAAGTTAAAATTCGGACACAAAAATCACTTTTTGATGATATAAATAAAATTTATAACAAAAAAGTTGAAGAGTATGATATACAAGTTTCGTTAGTTCATAAATTAACAGAGGAAGTTGACGTATTAAAAGAATTTGTTTCAAATAAAGAGAAAATAATTCAAGACCTACAAAGCAAGCTTAATAACTTAGAAACAGAATGTAATAATCTTAAGACTATAAATCAAATGTTAACAAATGAAAAGGAATCAATGGTGGCTAGGTTAGGAAAAGCCGAGTTGGAAATAGAAAATAATAAAATAGATTTTACAAAAATGGTTTCAGAAACCAATACTCTTAAAGAATCCCTCACAGAAAACGTTCGTAATGTGGATAGTCTTAAAAATGAGGCGAAATCTTTAATGGAACAAAATGTACGATTGAAACAAGAATTTGAACAAAAATGCAAAGACCTGACGCGACTGGAGTTTAATATCAAAACGCACGAGACTACGGCCAAGATACAAACTAATATGATATCAAGGTAGGTACAATATTTAATAAATATTAAAACTCGGTTTTAATATGACCAAAATATATAAAAACTAAAAAGTGACTGACTATGATTGTATTGTAAAGAGTACATAATACTCTGAGGAAAAATACGAATCGAGTGATAACTCAAAATCGATCCAGTCATTTGAGACAGGCCATCACAAATTAACTACATACGCACGCAAAACAATACCCTATGTCGGGTAATAACTAAAATTAATTTCTATAACTGTGGAAAATCTTTATATATATAATTCTTCTGTGAGTGTGTATGTCACTGAACTTCTCTCAAACGACTGGACCGATTTTGATGAAATTTTTTGTGTGTGTTCAAGGGGATCTGGGAATGGTTTAGATTCACAATTTTGTCCGCTGGGCAATGTTTTTTTAATTAATTTTTAATTTATTAGTAGTTGTTGATTTTGGAATGTTTTACATTGGATCCGACAGACGGCGCTACCATCGCAGTGCCAAATTGTCAGACAACGTCTGTCGGGTCCGCTAGTACATTTGTATAATTTCAACAAATACTATGTTTTTTTTTCAGGTTACAGAAACAAAAAGAAGAGGACATGCACAAAATAGCAGAGAAAGAGAAGCAACTGCAAGAGTTGAGTGAGAGATTAGGCTCGCTACAGAAGGAGTGTCTCGGAATGAAAGATTGTATTGAGTCATTGAGACACGAGAAAGACGCGTTAACACATTTGAAGCTAAGTCTTGAGGTAATTTTTTTGTTAAAATTTATGATAATTAAACTAAACGTGCACATTTCTACTACAAAACTATATAAAGAACATATAGTGTGGATTAATTGTAAAGGAAAACATCTCGCTAAATTTTACTTTTGTTTCTTTATAGGAGAAAATATGTCAATTGAAGAAGGATCTAGAGAGCGGTCCCAAGGCTCGCCTGTCCATCGAGAGTGTGGTTGAGACGGCCCGCAGGCGACGTCAGAGCATACAGGACTCTAACAGGACATTTGGCGACAAACATTACGGTAAATTGCATATGTGTTACATAACAAACGATATGAAACTTTATAAACTACATTAAGTTTTGATACAGCCATTGAAAACCTATTTTAAAATTATTACGAGGAATAGAACCTTTTAGGTTTCCTTTACTATAAAGAATTTAAATATGTTGTTTTGTATGTTTATTCAGATCAATACAAGTCAGAGACGATGTTAGAAGAACGGTGCAAGGGCGACGACATGCTGATGGACGTGGACGAGTGCAGCTCCAGTCGCAGCACACCGCAACGACACAGTAAAGGGTATTATTTGAATACAACATTTTCATAGAAAGTATATATAATGAATATAATGATGTGTCACGGGCGATAATATTAACTTTTGCCCGCGACTCTGTTCGCGCGGAATTTTAATAAAACTGAAGCGGTTAAATGTATCCAATATCCGATGAATCTATGCCAAATTGGTTCAACATTTTTGAGTTATAAATAGTGTAACTAACAAAACTTTCTTTTATATATAGACTAGCTGTCGTCCGCGACTCCATCCGCATCAAATCAAAAAAATAACATAGTAAATAGCCTATTTGTTCTTCCAGACTATGTTCTACATGTATGTCATGTTTCAGCGATATCCATGCAGTCGTTCTGGAGATACCTTCAAACAAATATCCATCCATCCAAACATTCCCGTATATAATATGAGTAAGATTACAGATTTGCATAAATATAATTTATTTAAAAATTGTTCCTCTATTGTTTCAGACGCGACAGCTTGCAGAGAGAAGAGGTGTGTATTTAAACATTCGTACATATTCTTTTGTTAGTCTATTACTGTTTTATTATTTGATCCTGGCCTCAGGTTTGGTCAGCGAAAGATACATTTACAAAGTTACGAATATAATGTATTGCAGAGCGAGGAAGAACGCGATGGTCGCCGGTCAGCGGGCGGCGTGCGCGCGGCACGTCAGCGGCGGCAGAGCTCACACGACCTGCATCGCCTCGCGCTGCACAACACTCCTTCACCTCACGGTATCTCTCCATACTTATTCATTACTTCGAATTAAAACCGAAATTAGGAAACAAAGGCACGTCAAATTCTACATGGCGACCATTACGCCAAGAACTGAAACTTTGTGAAAATTGAAGTTATGTAATGGAAAAGTTTTATTGAATTTAGTGATGTGTTAATTTTGTTTGTCTATGGTATATGAGTTTGGTTTGTTACATGTACTATCGGTTAGACTAACGGACGAAATGATTTTGATTTTATTTTAATATATTTTCAGAGTCACGCAACAGATCGAGGAATGAACATGATCTTTCAAATGATAGTAATACGAACAGCAGGTACATTACCAAATCTTAGTTTTATTTATAAGTTGAAAAGAAATATTATTTTCCATAATCATTCGTCATTAGCTCTCATTCTTTATTTAATAATTAATCTATTTTTGTACGTAATGTCAGAATGTCAGAGCTACAAGATCGGCTGACTTCGTGCCAGCAAGAGTTGGAAGAGCTGAAGGAGAGGTACAGGGAGCTGGACGAGGAGTGCGAGACGTGCGCGGAATATCTGCGGGAGAGGGACGACCAGTGTCGCAAGCTCAAGAAAGAGAAAGCCAGTCTTGAAGTAAGACAGTTTTAGCTGTATAGTGCAAGGAAATGCCTTGTCAAAGTAAACTGTAACTAATGTCTTTTTCCTGCGATTTATATTTTTAATGAAATGTCATAGGGTTGTTGTATTTTCTTAGTTCGTTCCTATTTTTACCTCGAAGGAAAAAAGCGGAACCCTTATAGGATCACTTTGTTTCTCTGTCTGTCCAGACCCTGTTTTAAATTAACTACTGTGTTTCAGAACATTATAACGGAGTTAAATGAGAAATTACAACGCGGACATGACTCGAGCCGAGGCGGCGCGAAGGTTAGCTACGCGCACGTCGCGGTCAACACGGACGAAGGTACCTTTCTATATTGTTGGGACACAATACATACACACTCATACTATTGATCATCTTAAAATAAAAGTAGACATATCTTCATATAATCTTACTTTTCTATTATCATAAACAATTCCAAATTTTACTTTTAAAGATTACTAGTGAAAGTAATTGAATCAACATTTTTCAAAGATTTGATTTTTTTATTTCATAGATTGGGCAAATCTACATTCAGTGGTAGTAGATCGAATGTCATTCGATGCTGAAGTAGAAAAGAATAAGAGATTAACAAAAATCATAGAAGATTTACGTGTAAACAAGCAAGAATTAAAAGCGGTCATAGCAAAAATGCAGCGAGCACTTGAAGAGAAGACAGGCAAGGATGGTAGAGAGTTAGAGAGAACAAGAATAGAGTTACGGTCCTGTAAAGAAGAGTTGGAAGAACTAAGGAGAAGGAATATAGAACTCGACGAGGAGTGTGAGACTTGTGCGCAGTATTTGAAGGAAAAAGAAGAACAGTGTAGAAGTTTAAAGGAGTCTATTGCAGCTTTAGAGGTTAACACAAACAAATTAATGAATAATACACATTCAGGTCCAAAACCTAAATTAATTGACAGAGACTATAATTTTTGCATAAAACGGAATTGCATAAATATGAGTAACATAAAAATAGAATCTAACTCCATTTAAAAATTGGCCTCTGATAAATATCTCAGTAAAGGTTGATATTTATGTCTGATTTAAGTTATATCAGTACAGTGGGATAGTAACTGGCGTAATGTAAATACTCACTGGCGCCAGTAAGTCCATGTCATTGTCCTACTGTCAAATATAAATCAATAATAAATGAAAGTATATTGTGTTTGTATAGGGCAAGTTGTCTGAGCAGCAAGCGGGCGGACGAAGCGCGGCGACCAGCGTGCGCCGGCGCCGACAGTCCTTGCACGACCACAACCGCGACACCAGCTGCTGCGACGCTACCACACAAATCACAGAAGGTAGGAACTAAATCAACTCTGAAAAGGTTCAAAAGTTCAGGTCACAAAGTGTTAACCCGAACATTTACTTGTTGAGAACAACATACTAATTTAACTAAATTTGGTTATTGTTCTAGTACATTCTTACATGAAATACATAGTATGTTTGCCTTAGATTGTCTTATCAGTCAGTCGGAACTATTTGTTTTTAATTTATTTTCTATTTGTCAGATTTCCTCAGTTACCAAGTGGAGCGCGACCGGACGAAGCCGGTCCCTGATGACATGCATACCAAACAGATCAAGCGGCTCAAAATGGTACGGTGGCTAGAGTAGACACAAATTTTGTTTACTTTAAACGAATATTTATTTATTCCTTTGTAATATCTCTATAAGCAATTATTTAAAGTACTGTGAGTATTACTTTGTCTTAAGTCAGTACTTCAGCTCGATATGGATTGTGTGCAGGCGGTGGAGAAGCTGTCTAAAGAGAAAACCGCATTGGAACAGCAGCTGGTGTCTTCCGCGACAGCCCCCGTATACGTCGCAACGGGCAGCGCTATCGTGCAGGTAAACATATTTCACACATATTTTTTAAACAGACTACTAATTCTACTAATAATACAAAAGCCAAGAGCACAAATCCAACTAATATTTTAAAAAAAATCTAATGAAGTAATGACTATTTCTTCTGCGTAGTAAAATTATTTTAGTAAAAAGTTTATTAACAAAAAATATTGAACATTATAGTTGTAAAAAGTTAACATTTTTTAATATTCATAGTGTGATTTCTATTGATTCGTATTACGGTATGGAAGTTTTTGTAAGTTAAAAGAACTTGTTTATGACAGGACCAGCAATTTACCGATGTCATGAAGGAGAACCAGAAACTGAAGAAAACGAACGCTGCCCTCATAGCACTCTGCAAAAAGAGGGAGAAGAAAACAACAATCAAAGTCAATAGGGAGAACCAGGACCCCATGGAAGAGATCTGAACATACATATTATAACTAAAATATACTCAATTTTTTACATTAATTTTCCTATTTTACTAAAGTTAGAAGCTGGACTTTATTTTTCTATAACAATTTTTATTTTAATGTTTTTTTAATTCACTTTGTCACTCAATAATTTTAAACATTTGGCACAAAATAATTAGAATTATCTTGAATTATTAAGACTGATAATGATTCTTAATAAACATTCCGCAAGTTTGTTTAGTTTTGTGAAAGTTGTGAGAATATGTTGGTGCCATTGGAAATGATTATTCTTTCAAGTATTATTAAGTACAAATTTGTTTTTCGTACTTAAAATGATTGTGTTATGCATTTTATCGACCAATTAATCAATCAGTATGACAATTAAACGTAACAACATTAAAATATTTCTTAATATAAAATTATAATATATACGTTAATGTAAATTAAATACTTGATATTATTTGTGATTAAGATGTGATTGATTTATGACGTACATTTTATTGTAAATGGATCCGTTGCTAATAATAATAATATTCTGATGATTATTTTTGCATTTCATTTATATTCTGACAAACAATTAAAAAAAAAATAAAGCCTAGTTATGATTTTATGTTAATTATTGTACGTCTTTTGAAAGTTAAAGAATGTTCTAGGACATCACAATCTGTGGGTGTGGGTCCCCTACGCTTTCTGGATTGAACATAATTAGAAGTCAAAATAGTCCAAGACAGCTGGTATATCACTATCACACATTTTCAGAGGACCTAGCCCGAATATTTGCGACAGAAGCGGTGCACATATTTTTTCGATGATATTACTAAAACGTTGTCATGAATATTCGTTCTCGGTCCTCTGATCTTCATATTTATAAATTCAAAATAACTGGTCCACAAACATAAAATTTAAACTTTTTTTATAGTAAAAAACACTTTATTAAAACGAAATACATAGTAGAACTAAACAATTGCGACAAAAATATTAAAGAACACATTTTTTAAAGCAGCTTAATAAGTGAGGTTAATTTTATACCTATAATCTTAAAATTTATTGAACTAAATTCTACTGCTTACAAAGAACTATAACAACCTGTAAAAAGAAACCACACTTATTTTTAACAAACAGGAACAAAGAAATAGGATTAAATGCACAGCAGTTTACTTATTTTTTTATTTTCTTTAGTATTAAAAATACAAGTTACACACAATAATACATAAAGACACCGATACTTATGTTGTCATTAATCTTTACTCAATAAAATCGTATTCTATACTTTTAATTAAAAGAAGAAGTCTTTTATGACATATATATCAATTTATTTCCTAACTAAAACACCTTCAGTTTTCATGAGACTGATTACTTTCTTTTTCTTGTGAGCCAGTTGCATATTCTTTTAAAAGGAGTTCCATTTTAGAAGGTAACTTCTCCATTTCTCCGTCAGTTTGAGATTCTGTTTTTACTTCTGTTCCATTTAATTCTTCTTTCTGAACATCTCTTAACAGTTGTTCCATTCTAGAAGGTAAATCCATATCACTTTGTTCTACTGTCTCTTGATCTCTAATTTCTTCTTTTTTGGTACTAGTTTCTTCTTTTAACAGGAGTTCCATTCTTGTTGGTAATTCATCTAACGAGTCTTCGTTTTCAGTGACAGGTTTCTCTTTTATTATATTTGACTTGCGTTCTTCTATATGGTCTGCGAATGTAGTCTGTCCAGTTAGTTTGGCCATTTCGGCAGCTAAGCACAGGAATTCCGGCTCACTGGATTTGCCCATAAACATCGCCGCTTGAGAAAGATCACCCATAGCAAGGTGACTGAAATTAAACATACAATATTTATAGTGAACAAAATTAACAATTTATTTATGTATATTAATATATGTATTTAGGGAAGAAATTAATTTATGAAAAGAAAAAAAAAGATTTTCGAGACTGAACTTCTTTAAATTTTTATCAATATTCAATTACTTCTTTATATTTACAAGAAAAAAATAAAATGATTTGGGGTATATACATCAAAGTAGTTAAAAATGGTAGAGTAATTACCAAACAGCTGCGATCGCCCATTTGCCGCCTTTAACGCTGTGCTGCGCCCACAGACCCAGCACATCCGTAGCTATGCTGTCCATGTGCCTGACAACATATAAAACTCAATACAAATATATTCGTAGTAGTATTGAAAGCATTACGTAGGTAGATGTATATGTATCTACATCGCTGGCCTTTACACCCGGCTACAACTAAAAAAAGAATTATCAAAAGCGGACAATCAGAAGCAGAGTGACGAAGTAACAAAACATATAATAAAACGAAAGCCACCTCCTTTCTATGGGGCTAGGCAAAGTATGGTGAGTAAAAAATGTATAGAACCGACGCGCAACAATCACGTGACTTATAGAAAGTTCGTTATGGAATCGCTTCGGATCTGACGCACTTTGTCTGACCCCGCTGAAGTCGGTTAGGTTAGTGTTTCACGCAATGACTCGTATGGTGTTTTGAAAATACATTACCTTGTGCGACAGAGTACATAGGCCTCCCTGTAGAGCCTGTGCTCAGCGAGCAGCGCTACGGCCGCCTTCAGGTCGTGCGCACTGAGCAGCGCGCCCAGCTTGCGGTACACCGGACCTCCGTACTTACGCGACACTAACAACATGCAAAATTGTTTATAACGTGTTTCCACTGCCAAGATACTCATATAAAAACATATTGTGGATATAACTACTTGCTATGCAAAATGGTAGAAATCATGAAATACACCTAATTAACAGATCTTACTAATATTATAATTGTCAAAGTTTAGATGGATGGATGGTTGCTTGTTACGAGGTATCTCTGAATCTCTGGAAGACCGGCTCAATGGATCTTGATGAAATTTGGTTACTTATTAAGTTTTTTTTTTTTTAATTTGGCGCGATTGATGCCGCTGGCGATATCTAGTTAAACATTAAAAAGGAATAAACTTACAGTTATATTTCTCTTCCTCTCCTTTGGCGATGAGTCTGTCTAATTGAGCTGTATACAGCTGCATCACTTCTTTCCAATATCTAACAAAAGTAATCATGAATTATTTTTATCAACACATTAAAACAACTTTAAAGTTTTCGTGTTTGGAACTACAAGAAGGTAACGACTATTTGAGTAGTTTTAAACTTAAAGATATTTAATAGTCTTATTTTAACTATATTTTTCACCAAACTACCTCTCAGATTTGCTAAATCACGTGATATATCTAAATATTTTTAGACAATATAAGTTAGAATAATTTGGAATGAATGGCGCGCTTTCGTTACCAAAAACAATTGTCAAATTGCTTAGTGAGTGGACATAAACGTGGAAATTTTAATAAGGCTAGTGTTGTTGTAGATACACCGGCACAGTGTCGGTTTTTCGTCTTAACAATATGTATGAAACAAAAAGTTTTCAGAACATTTACGTATGGATGTAAATGCATGCTAATGTAGATAATAAAAAAATAATTACTTGTGTGAAACACAGGGTGTGAGACTGAGGAGATATGGGCAGAGTAAGTCTCGCTTTACAGCGAACTGTACAGCGCAGTCTATGCGCCCGCGCAGCACACACAACATAATACACGACTCTAGGTTACCGCCTGTCCTGTGGTTCTCCACTGAAACAATATTATATGTTGCTAATATTATAAATCAGAATGTTTAGATGTATGGATGGATGGGAGGATGTTTATAGGTCTCCCCGGAACGGCTCAATAGATCTTGATGAAATTTGTCATAAATATAGTACATAGTCTGGAAGACCACATACTAGACAGCTACTAATCAAGTTTTTTTTTAATTTCATGCGGACGGAGTGGCGGGCGACAGCTAGTATTATTATAAATGCGAATGTTTGGATGGAATGTCTTTTAGAAAGTATCTCCCCAACCGCTGCATGGATCTCGATGAAATATGGCATAGATGGTGGAACATAGTCTGGAAGAACACTAAGCTTACTATTTTTTTTTAATTTCGCATCTTGTAGATAAAATTCTCGTGTCACAATGTTTATTAAAATACTCCTCAGAAACGACCTGACCGATCTTCACGAAATTTTCTATGTATATTCAGTTTGTCTGAGAAACTGCTCGATCTAATCAATTGAGAATTATGATGAGGGTGTGTTTTTTGAATAAAGTTACTTAAAAAGTACTTACATTCCAAATCCAATACTTCGTTAACATCATTTGTGCTGCCGAACATTTTAATAAAGTCAATATCAAATCCTTTATCATTGTTGCTCGGTTCTTTGTCCAACTCGGCCTTATCCAAGGAACTATTAACTTTACTTTCTAAATTTTCAGATTCATCTTTTTCAATTTTATTATCATCAGAATTCTTATTTATATGGTTTTTTAACATCCGCTTAGCGCCTGATAAGAGGGATGTTTGCATTTGTTTGTGTATGAGTGGTAAAAGGTATTTCTTGGTTGTTTTAACTTTATCTTCCTGGGCAACGGCTAGACTATCTAAAAGTTCATATTTAAAATCCTCCGCTTTCTTTACTTGTTTACTGAGCTTCTTTTTATCTCTTTTCGAAACGCCAATTTCTTCTCCTGCAAAATATTTATTCTATTATTAATAGCGCAACAGAGAATTTTTCAAAAACAATCGGTTTACAAAATTTAAAAATTTTAATTTAAAAAACTACGAGATTTTAATTATAATAACTTATATTTTAGAAATATCTGTAATAAAATAAGGTTATGACGTCACAAAATAGTATACACTCACACCTTTTAACCTTGAGGGATGGAGCGAGAGAATTGTAACTCTGACACCTCTCTCGCTCTTACATAGCTATAGTTAATAATATAAGATAGTAACCTTGATATTTAACCGCGGAGTAGTCCATGTACGACCAGAGCCTGAGCGAGCAGTCCGCGCCGCCGGTGAGCAGGTGGGCGGGGAACTGCGGGCGCGCGCACCACGCCACGCCCACCGCGTACTGCGTGTGCGCATTACAGATCGATACGCATGCATCGCCCACTACGTCCCACACCTACACACAATTACACTTACTTTAGTCTTACTTACGTGCAACTTAGGCGTGAATTGGGTATGACCTATTTATGACACAACTAGAAAAAAAACTGTTGAAAAAATTAATTAGTAACCTATGTGTTCTTCCATACTATGTTCTACATATATGCTAAATTTCAGCGTAATCCATGCAGCCGTTCTGGAAATACCTTCTAACAAACATCCACCTAAACATTCGCATTTATAATATTAGTAAGATAAACATTGCACTTATAGAAAATACTTTTTTTTTAATATTTTATTCTGGAACATGTGATTTTTAAAAATTCATATAAAGAATTAGAAATTTAAATGATTCATATTTATAATATTAGGTGCTAGTTATAGCCCCTGAATATTTCAAATATGCAAGTAAGTAATTTTATTTATACCCGTATAGTACAGTCTTGAGAGGTGGATGCCAGAAGTTCGTCTCTGTGCGGACTCCAAGCTAACTGCAGGATGGCGTGCTTGTGCCCAGTCAGCACTTTCCAAACCTGCAGCTGTTTGGTGCCGTCTAAAAACAAATAAATATCATTTATAAAGAGAACTTAAAAGACTTCACAGATAACGTAAAACACAAGTAAATGTCAAAGTAGAAGATTCATTTTAAGTGAAACTCATGTTTTAAATAACCCAAATTGAATATACTTTCACATAACCATTCTATTTAGAATTAATGTTTTTAAAGTAAAGTAGTACCTTCTTTATCGCCATACTCAAGGATAGAGATACTATGTTGTTTATCTAGTGATGAGACAGCAATGAGATTCTTGTACGGAGACTCCTCGTTAGCTTCAGACGTTTGTTCCGGATGCCACTCCACATTGTATATCATTTTACTGAAAAATATACATAAAATTAACATAAGAAAACATATTTAACATTTTTGACTTATGAAATATATCAAAAAATTTAAAGAAAAAAACATACAATTAAGTCAAACTGTATTAAAAAGCAAATCAATGACGCAAAAAAAATATAAAAAAGTTAATCTAACCAGGTTTACCGAACCAGACCAAAAATATTGGAAGAGGAGCACTCTTGATCCATGACAAATCACTATGAAGCAAGAATCTCACGTGTATAAATAATTAGCTGCAAGTGCGGTGCAGTGCGGGGCTGCGCGGGTGACTGCCACCGCGCCGTCACAGCTGCCCACTGCGAGCAGCCCGCTCTGCGCCTGCGCACGCACGCAGCTCACCGCCCACTGCGCACCCTCCACGCACATCTTTATACTCTGCGGCGCTGCAACATACATTGAACATTCATAGACAGTTTGACATACGTGCAAGACAGCTAGTGTTTATTATATGCACAACAGATTAGCTGCTTGCTTTATACGATACTAGTCGTCGCCCGTGACTCAGTCCGCGGGGAATTGAAGAAAAAAATTGATTCATATCATATGTGCTATTCTAGGCTATCTTCTACATACATGCCAAATCCTTCCATACATCCGGACTATTTCATTTATAATATTAGTGTAACTTACGTTGATCAGGTTTGCTGGTCCTATAGACGACAAGTTCTCCGTTAGCGGCAGCAAGCAGCTGGTCATCCTCGCCCCAGCAGAGCGAGTACACGCCACCACCGAGTGCGGGCAGCAGCGTGCGCGCCGGACGATCACTTTTACCATTCGCGTCTATCAAACCAACCTGGAAAAAATTATTTAAATTAAAAAAACTTAGAAGCCTTAAACCTTTAATAAACTATTGAGTTATAAATCTTCTATTAGTCTAAAAGTAGAATCTTTATAAATATCTTTAAAAATCAATATCTATATGTTCTTTATGTGTTCCTAAACCACTGTATAGATTATAATTAAATCTAGGGTTGGTATTTTTAGAAATCTGGAGTAGGTTTGTGTCGTAAAAAAATCTATAAAATTTAAAAAAATATATTACTATTAAGACTTGATAATATTTTGACTTTTCAACTAATAGCATTTTAAGTATTTAAACTATCATCAAGATCTAAATAAAAGAAATCATACCCTAGCTTCAGCAGTTCCGAACGCCAATAGATTCTCTTTAGTCGGATGCCAGGCCACAGTCAGCACTTTGCCCTGCACATTCTGCCAATATGTTGTGATGTTGCCCAGATATAATTTCATCTCGTCGTCATCGGCCACATCCAGTTCCAGTACTCTGATCACTCCATCTCCGGAACTAACTGCCACTCTGTTCATGTATATATCATAAGTGAATTTTTCTTTGTAAACAATAGAAATGATATGTTTTTATATAATACTAATGTGACAGTAATGCAAACTCATGGTAATTTGTTACAGTATAAATTATGTTGAAATCACAAAATAGTACATAACACCGGTAAACTAAATCTTACTAATATTATATAATAAATGCGAAAGTTTAAATGGAAGGATGTTTTTTTGAAGGTATCTCCGGAATGGCTGAACAGATTTTAATGAAATTTGGCACACATTTAGAACATAATCTGGAAGAACACACATCATTATTGTTTTTTAATACCGCAGGCAGGGAGTGGCGGGCAACTAGTAGTACTGGGAAAAAATGTAACACATCTCACTTCTTACTAGTCTTAGGTCTGGACGAACATAGACTACTAATTAGATTTTTTTTAATTAAGCGCGGATGGAGTCGTGGGCGACGGTTAGTAGTAAAATAAATTAAAAAAAAAAACCATTTACCTTCTAGCATCATAAGGACATGGCTGCACATTGTATATGAAACCACCACATGTTGCATGAGTGTAAACAACTTCCTCGGTTCCGAGGGAACATCTGATCACATTACGGTCCTGAGCAGTTGTCCATACACTCCAGTTTTCTGCTTCCTTAAGGTTTTCGGATGTTTGTACCCGTGGGGCATCAGACACAATAGAAAATAAGCCTCTTCTATGTTGCGAATGGAGAAACTTGTATACCATTTTGTTTTTCCTGTTGAAATCTTTAATATGAATTACACCAATTTTGAAATTTTTTCATGCATGATAAAAAATACTATTAAAAAATTACGTTTTTTTATGTCATTAACTAATTTAAAAGTTAGAAAGTTTAAAAAATTAATGATTTATTTTAAATTGAATTAAAAAAATATTTATTACCCATCTATTTTCAATGGATTACAATGTAACAATTGACTCCTGCCATCAGCAATTAGCAATGTGTCAGGCTTGCACCACAGCAATGTAGTGCATTGTTGTATTTTAATGTTCTTCTGGTTCTTATTACTAGAGATAGGAGCATTACAGCTACCCACTAGCTTCCCACCAGAGGCCCATATTCTAACGCAACTGTAAAAAAGATAAATCACAACTTTGAGCATGTGGCCACCTGATTTCGTCAAAATAGCAAAGCAACAGTTGGCCATACACAGCCACAACTGCACATGCAATTTATTCAACAAAGGATTGAATCCACAAATCGGCTATATTGGTCTAATTTCTATGTTTCCCTACCTCTATCAAATCCACTTGCCCTTCCATTCTTTCCTTACAAGAAAAGAATGGGAAGAGAAAGAGGACCAAAATTAGGTTACCGGCAGGCACAATGATCTGTAGAACTCAGAACACAGTTGAACAGTTGCTAGACTAGACTTAGTTCTATTAGACCATATTGATTTTTTTTTCTAAGGAGACCCAAGAAGGTTTTTAAGCAAAAAATCTGAACTAAACACTTGGCATTATAGATTTAAAGCAAATTCAAAGTGTAATACCGTACTCACCCATTTTTTCCTAAACTGGAAACAAGATGCTTGTGTTGATTAGAAACTGTTTTAGTGGAGTCTTCTTTTGCTTCCTTATCATCATCATGAGCTTTTAGTTCATCATTAGAACTGTCTATTTCTTTATCAACAGCCACATTTTCTAAAGCATCAACTAAACCTGCTATACTTTCTTCTGGTTGATTTTTTCTTTTTAATATTTCTTCAGTTAAAATTTTACATTCATCTAAATAACTAACTTCCGTCTTTACCTCTGCTTTTACCCTGACTAGTATATCTTCTGGTTCATATTTCTTAGGTCCAAAAGCATCTGTTTCATAATCTTTGTACATATCAAACAAATCATCCTCCTGTACAATTGATTCATCAAAACTATCATCTGGTAATGTTTTAGACACACCAGAGTTGTTCATATTTTGTTTGGAGTGTTCTGCCTCTAGCCTTATTTTATTCATTCTTTCGTTAGCACTTACTTTCTTATCAATATCAAGTGTTTGTTTTATTGAAACTTCAAACTGAGGACACCAGCTTACACTAACAATCTCATCATCTTGTCCACGAACTTTGTACAAAATTTTTCCTGCACCTGTAGTTAGAATTATTTCATAAATTCATTATTTAAAATTTTTGCCTGATATGTGACTAAGGATAAGTGTCAAGTTAAATATTCTTTCATCTTTTAACTTAATGAATAAATTGATACTTACTAGTTAAATCTACTACAAATATTACTCCTTGCTTTGTACCAATAGCCAAATTCAAAGGAACATGGGGAGAACAAGCCATACTTGTCGGTCGGAATGTTTTTAAGAAGTTACGATAGGTCTTAATCACATTAGAGTTAAGATCCCATTTGACAACATATCCCATTGACCCAACTGTCACTGCATATGTTTCATTACAGTATCCTACACCCACCACTTCCTGAAAGAATAAATACACAAAATATAGAGCACTAGACACAATCTCTAAACTTTTAAATTTTACTATTTTTTTTTATTATCTAAAAAAAGTATAAATGGCTGTTACTTCACCTCTTTCTCATTTTTGTGCACAGAATGACTGTGGGTAGTATTAAGTTTATACTTATTGTCTGCTAGCTCTAAAACCCAACATTTTACACAGCCATCAACACTACCGCTCATAAATGCTTTTTTTTCTGGCCATTCTGGAGATATATCTACACTAACGACTCTGTAAGAAACGTGTATTGTTAACATGATATTAGAACGTACAATAATTTTATAATGTCGAAAAAGTTGTATTACTTTTCAAAGTGGGCTTTGAGTAAAACATGGGCCCGGTACACATCTCCTTTAACGATTCCAAGTGAATCTGGAATAGGTTCTAATACACACAAAGACTTTTGGGGGCCACCAAAAACAAACCAACGGTCTGTGCTTACAGCTAGTCCAGTTGTTTGAAACCAATTGGGGGATGGAAATACTACTGTTTCTTCCATATTTAAGTAGAAATACACAAGAAACTGGTATCTAATAACAAATTAAAAGCCGCACCGGCCGGTATAACTTTAAAAATAAACGTTAAACGTCACTTTTTGACATTAGAAAAAATGATAAAAATGTGACAAAACGTATAGAGTATAACTGCAGAACCAACAGAACCAAAGAGTTTATAAAAACAGAACTGTGTCTTCCAAACTAGTACAATTTAGCGTCCATCAAGAAACGAGCGTATCTCTTTCTTATATAAAAGACATCAATGCATTTGCAAGTCCGATGATCACCTCGTTATTTCCGCCGCACTTTTGGCCTTTCACTTACAAGAAAAATCTAATTGTGCAGTCTACGTTTATGGTCCATGTGCCATGCTCCGTGCCTCAATGTTTTTTTTACTCTTTATCTTTACTTGTCAGTTTGATGGTATTGAAAGTAAACAAGCTTGCTGAAATTTTCTAGAAAAATTAGGAAAACAAACAAATTGCAATTCTTTTGAATCATATCTTCACACTTAGTAGGTGTCATTCCATTGTGGTAAAAGTGAATTTTTGAGTTATAATCATGGCTCACTACAAAGGGGCTGCATCGGAAGCTGGCAGAGCCATGCATCTGATGAAGAAAAGAGAGAAAGCTCAGCAAGAAATAGAACTTCGAAAAAAGAAGATTGAAGAAGACTTAAAAATTGACAATATAGAGAATAAGTTTGCTACACATTATGATGCTGTAGAGCAGCAATTAAAAAGTTCCACAATTGGGCTTGTTACTTTAGATGAGATGAAAGCTAAACAAGAACACATAGTTCGAGAAAGAGAAAAGAAACTGGCTCAAAAGAAAGCAGAGAAAGAAAAGGAAAGACAAAAAGAAATTGAAGCCAAACAAGCTCAGAAAAATAAACAGAAACGTCAGGTAAATATTCAAGTTTCTTGTGAATCTTAACTGTAATATTTCAGTAATGAATTGCAATAAAACTGATAAAGCTGGGGACAATATTCTAATTTATATTATTTCTCTGTGTCATGAGTACAAAATAAGTTAGTGTCATTTCCACAGATACAAGCACTTTCGTTTGATTTAGATGAGGAAGAAGATGAAGATGAAGCAGACAAGCCAGAGAAGGATTGGCGGGAACAAGAGGAAGTGGTATGTTTTTCAAATTAGGATAAAAAGAGAAGTAATTCTCTTTACATTCAGTAAAGATTGTAACTTTATTTACAAGCTAGCTGTTGCTAGCAACTTTGCCACAAAGAATGAAAAGCAAACTTATTTAGTATTAAAAGCATGTGTAGGCTATGTGTTCTTCCAGACTATGTTCTACATCTATGTTAAATTTCATAAAGATCCTTGTAGCCAATGTGGAGATAGTTTTTAACAATCCATTCATCCAAACATTTGTATTTATAACATTAGGAAGATGTAAATATGAATCAATTGTGATATAAACAATCAAATTATGTACATTAGAGAACCAAGTTCATAATCATCAGGTTAGTTTAAAAGAATTTATTCTCAAAAACATGAAACAAAATAACCATAGTGAATGTTTTCATAATATTATGATATTATTGTTTTTACCTTGACTTCTGGTAGTGTTTTTAGTAAATTACAAAATTGTGTTCAGTAATGACTGCACTTGTAGTTTAATAACCTTAATGATTTTAAACATCTTGATAACAATCATAAATGAATATTTAAAAAAAAAACTTTAATTTTATTATCTACTAATTTTATTGAAGGGGATTTCTGATACTTAAAAACTTTAATGTGTTACTAATAAAGGTAAGTTTTTTATTCTTATTGACATGTAATTACTTTACAGCCCCTAAAAAAAATCCGCAAGAATCCCGATGTAGATACATCCTTTCTACCCGATAGAGATAGGGAGGAAGCAGATTTAAAGTTACGAGAGGAGTTAAGGCTGGAGTGGGTAATGACACAGGCAAGTCTCAAAGATGAACCCATCACTGTAACCTTCAGTTATTGGGACGGATCTGGACATAGGAAAAATGTAACACTTAAGAAAGGTAACCATCATTATTTTTATATAAAAAAATTCAAAAAAGCAAGTATGAAATATCCACACTGTTTTGCCTTTAATGACTTATTTAGGATTCTGGGTATGGAACTATTAATTAGCTATGTATTTATTCAGAGAATTTACAGACACACGTTTATGTTATGGTACAATTCTTATTGCTATTAAAAAGTATATTAATGTTAATCAAAGCAATGCTTAATTATATGTTTTGTTCATAATTAACATCTTTCCTTATCAACCTAAAAGAAAAATTGTAACTAATGAAAATCTAGTACTTTTCAGGCAATTCAATTTACCAGTTTCTCCAAAGATGCCTTGACACATTGAGACCTGAATTCAGTGAATTAAAGACTGTATCCGCTGATCAGTTGATGTATGTAAAAGAAGATCTTATTCTGCCACATCATTATACATTTTACGACTTCATAGTAACCAAGGTAAATTTTAATAAAAGTGTACCCAGTTTATAAAGTTTTTGAAATATTAACATTTATAATGGAAATTATATTTGCTAATGCAATACCACTTTGTGTTCACGTAATAATCTAAAAGAAAGGTTTCAAATAAGTTTGTTTAGTAATGAAATTGTACTTTAAAAGGATTTTGGTAACTTTGCTAACCAATGTCTAATAATTGATGGATACAGAACTATGTCTATGCATTGTTTTACAAAGTTGTTTTAGAGCTTTAACAAAATGTGTTATTACGGTAGCTAACTGTCAACATGTACTAAGATATTAAGAAATCTTATACTTTTACAGGCAAGAGGTAAAAGTGGACCTTTATTTCAATTTGATGCATCAGATGATGTTAGATTGGTAAATGACGCGACACAAGAAAAACAGGATTCTCATGCTGGAAAAGTTCTGTTGCGGTAAGTAAGATAAAATACATTATTTCAAAAATTGATATTTCCTTATCATCATGATAGAAATCGTTAGATAAGCAGGCAATATGGATTAGTCAAATCAAAAAGTAATGAATAATTTTATTGCCAATATTTTATTAGATTAAATTATTTTCTAAATGGCAAAACACAAGTATTGGCAAAACAAATTAATCTTTATTATGCAACAATTTAGTTCATGCCTCAAGGTGATTTTCAATAATATCTTGGCAGATTAAAAATTCGTACAAGTCGTTTCGCAGAACACAATTTTAGGTGTAGTTGTCGAAACGCGGGATTACTTCCACCTCATATCTGTTTTCTGTATGGTTTTGGTATTGCCGTTTGTAACTACACTACTCTCAGGCGCTCCCAATGTTAAAAACTGCATGCTCAAATGCAATTTAGGTAACAATAGAATTATTTTTCAGGTCATGGTATGAGAGGAATAAACACATATTCCCTGCATCAAGATGGGAACCATACGATCCAACGAAAACTTATTCTAAGTACACAATTAAAGGAAAATGATTAATCTCTAAAACACTTTATTGATTACTTTCATAAAGTAATCTGACTCTTTAACTTTACGATGTAAATGATGCAATAAATAGTCAATAAATATTTAAGTCACAATTGGTATTTATTTTTCAAATCTGTAAATATCTCTAATAGTTCTGACATACCTCATTAATATACTCAATATGAAAATAAAAATCGTATGCCGCAGTTTAAGTAGCTGCTTAATAAATGTATGTACAGTATAAAACTACTTTATGTTGATTTATAATTACTTTGCTTCTCTATACAAAACTCCTAATATATATAAGTTTGAAGGTAAATTAACCTTGTTTTACAGTCCATAATACTAAATATATATTCTATTTTTATTAAATCCTAAGTAATTCAACAAATAACATAGCTTTCGAGTTCTTGCCACCATTTATTTTCTAGCTTATCTAAAAACTTCTGTTTACTCTTTGTGTTTTCCAATTCTGGTAAGACAGGAGGAGCATTCCTTTGGAAGTGAATGATGGCGGCCAAGAGATTCCAAATAGAGAACTCTGGCCAAAGAACATCAGTAAAATACAATACTGTCCTGGAAACCTATGAACAAAAGGTTTTATTTTTTAACTGGGATAGCAAAGATACAAGCTAGAGCTATTATTTATGAAGTTATTGTTTGTAATAATCTTACCTGCCACAACATAAAGTCAGACAATCTTACTTCACCAGATGTTCTTACTAACAGTTCAGCTTCTCCCAAATCGAGAGTTTGTGACAAAAGATCCTCATCTATATCCTCAGGCGACAAGTCTTTATTTTGAATGCCATCGATAATATGCGATGCCCCTCGACTAATTTCGTCTCGACCTAAGGGTTATTAATGTAGTGCATAAACTTTTCCAAACTAGCCTTAATTATTCATATTCATAAAATATAATTTAATAAAACTCAACTATGAAGCAGCCACTACGACATTATTTTTTTTATACTTAATTTAAACCAATTTTACTCTAAATAGTATTTTTGGAGATGATTAAAATAAATACTAGATAGGTCAAGATATTCATCAAATATGTTACATACTATCAAAAATTATGACATTTTTTATTTAGGCTTGATAGAAAAACAAAATATACCTGTATATGCATAGGCAATATTTAACTGCAATATATTATTGTTCTTTGTGGCTAGCATTGCTTTAGCAACAAGGGACCGTAAGTCTTCTGGGAGCATAGACAAACGGCCTGCTACATGTATCCGAACACCCCATTCATTTATCAATTCACTGCAAATACATAAGCTTTTATAAGTATACTTTAACTTTTATTTAAAAATGAATGTGATAAAATATATTTATGAATTTAATCACATGAAGTACATCCCAGCTACATAAAATTTCTAAATATCATATTCAGTAGGTATTCTATAAGGGAGTTATGAAATTGTTAGTAATGTAAAATATTAAACATTCAATTTAATTTCTATTATAAAGATAAATGTGTTATTTCATACTAACATTTCATCCAAAAGTCGTTTAAATTTATCCCGAGCCAAGTCCATAAGTGCTGCAACCTCTTCTTCACTTCTTTTAAAATTTTCTATACTAAATGCATACACTGTAACTTCAGGAACACCCAAATCAAGGCACCACTGTAAAATATTTTAACTCTGCTTTTTTTATTTATTTATAATAAACACAGTACAATATACACAATTACAATAAAAATGAGCCTATAATCCCATGTTTTTCACATATATCATGTTATATATCAAATAAACACTTCGGTAGCTCACCTTTAATGTTTCTGAAAGTTTATCAAAGCCTTTATGATGCCCAACGCTACTTTGAACGCTATTCTTTTTAGCAAATCGACGGTTTCCATCCATAATAAAAGCTAAATGTTGTGGAATTCTACCGCTTTTAACGACTTTAATACAGAAAAGTTGAAAAAATGAAACACAATTTTCTTTAACCCACGACATATTTATCGATAATAAATTATTGAGCAAAATAAGCTATGTAAATAAATGGAAATAAAATTTGCTTTAAGATACGAAGACGACTGAACCGTATTGATACAAAAGATTGGATAAAAATTACAAGTTTACAAGGTTTCAGTATAGGAACATCAAGTTCTACAAGGATCTTGGTCTTGGAACTTTGGCACTCTGAAAATGTCAACTTGACATTGACAGAACAACTTACGACATATTTTGACTCATGAAAGCACCACATAACGATAAACCGAGAACGAAATCGAAACGTAAACTGGTACGTATGCATACTCTTTGGAAGAAGTCTCATTCGTGGGCGATTGGGTGGTCGCTTTCATTCATATTCGTTCATTCTTTGCGGACAGTTGGCAGGAAGGTAGGAAGAATTGTCAATGTCAAGTTAGTTTGAAATTGTGATCAATTTGCACAGATTTCATTTTCGAATTCTTCTGGAATTCTATACACTTCACTTACCTTCTCTCTAGGTTATATTTGGTATTGGAAACGTTATCACTTTTTGTGACGATATTAATATGTATAGACTAAAATTAACAGCCCTAGGACATCCAAACCCCAAAAGCTTTAACTGTGAAGGTAATTTGTATTTATAAGTTATCCTGCTTGCCGGTGCAATATTAAAATGATAAATCTGTTTTTTAGATGTCAAAGAATACAGGAGCGTTGTTCTTTGGCTTGAAGACCAAAAAATTAGACATTATAAAATCGAGGATAGAGATGGACTTAGAAATATCGACTCTGATAATTGGCAAAATGCATATGATTTATATCAAAAAGACTTAGTGAGTCCTGTTGCTGATGGAACCCCAACTGAACAATTAAATTGGCTTTTATCCTATGCTGTAAGATTGGAATTTGCTGACAATGGTATGTAAATGTTTGTTATTATTTAACCTAATAAATAGTAGTATATTCTTACCATCATTATTGATCAAAAATTCTGTAGTGGCTTTATGTCTTTTAATGCACCATTTATATGTAGGATTAAATAAAACATTCAATTATCGAATTAACTAAGGGAAGAAAACTTTTCTTGTATGCTATTTTTGTTGCACAATATTTTGTCAATTACAAAAAATTTATGTATAGTTGATAAGAAGTATCGTAAGATTCACTATGCTGGTTTTAAATTTCTATCATCTTTCCTGTTTTTACATAATGTGTGGGATTTATTAATTTCACACAACCCATCCTTATCATATTTCCTTAGACCTATTTCTTCTAGTTATACCTTCTCTGCAGTCCTTCTTTACACATGACATTCTCCCCCAATTAAAACATTCCCACATTGATAGTTTAGTTAATGCTTAAAATATAAATATGTAGTACAAATGTCAATATTTAATATATTAATAACGAAACATTAATTTTTATAGTTACTAAATACAAGGCAGTTATAATTGAAGAACCAAAAAAGATAACACCGAATGTTGTATCATCCAATCCTCTCGACAATCTAAACTGTAAGTATTCATTTAAACAGAATTTCATTTCTTACATAAAAAAATAAAATATACTATACCTTAAAATATATATACTTTTAAAATGATAATGGGTCAACATTCAAAAAAGTCTGTATTCCAAAGATCATCATCACATATTTTTGAAGACTATTTTTGAATTACAAATTAAAATAAGCTTATTAATAAACTTAAATTTAAATCAAACCAGATTATTGTTAATAATCTATAACTAACATACTGAATTAAATATTTTGAAAACAGATTTTTAATAATTTTTGAAGATAATAAATGTATATTCCTTTACAGTTTCAAGTCCAGCATTTGTTAATGGAGTGGAGAGAGTTTGTGCATTAAGCGGTATTGGACCTCACCCTGATCCCAAATTTAGAATTGCAGCTTTAGCAAAAGTCTTGAAAACATCACCTCATCCCGATTATCCTAATACAGAAGTAAGCATTATCAAACAGCCAAAAGATGTCCTTGAACTTATTTTCATCCAGAACCTAAGAGACTTGCAGACTAGTATAAATGAAGCTTTAGTGGCTGTACAAACGGTTACAGCAGATCCACGCACTGACACCAAATTAGGTAAAGTTGGCAGATAACCTTACAACTTTACATTTTTTATAACCATAATGTGCATTAAAATCTCAGTAATAATTCCTAAAATAGAAACAGCTTGTTTTCATTCTTGTACATGATATTAAATATATTACATAACCAAACTTGTTTTATTTTAACTAACTATCGCCATCCCTTTCATGCACATTTATTTCCATTAGGTATGTTAATAAAATGGCAATAACATATTAAAATAATAGATTTAGTAAAAGTACTTATTCTTTATTTATAACATTTTCAACACTAGTAAAATGCAATGACCTAGAACTCTGTACACAGACAAATATCTTGCGAAACTAAACAATTGATGTATGCATACCTTAAATGTAATCAATGCATACCTCCTCCCTTCTCTAACATCTGTGCAAATCTGTTTGTAATGAGAAGTGAAACATCAATGAATCTTTCAACACAGTTACTGATGCAGGTTTCTGTGCGAGAATCTAGTTTTGATCCTGGTTTATCCACACATTTGTCCCAGCAAAAGTCATTGAACTCATGTATCTAAAAACAAAATGATTTAAATATAGTAAACTGATAATACTTGTTGTAATTCATTGAATATACAACTGTCAAGAATATGTTTTAGGGGTTAGAAACTATTTTGTGCATAGAATACATGCATAACATGTATTAAATGAAGGTGAAATTTAGTAGACAGAACATGGTCAATGTTTTAAGAGACAAATTTTTAATGGTTACACTTCACTACCTAAAATTCAAACTATAAGGCCTACCTACTACATACAACTACAAGGCATAAAATGTATAAAGTATAATCCATTGTAAATCATATTTCAAATATTAATTGAAAATTGCATACTTGGGCATGAAACTGTGCTTTTTGCTTTTCAACCATAAGAAAATCCTGTAGTTCAGAATCTCCAGCCTTTGTACTAGAATAATCCGACATATCACTCATTTTTATAACTCTGGTATAATTTAAAATTGAATAAAACGAATATACTTATTATAGGTTATATTAGAGCGGGTCGATCGATTCGGTATTTTTTATTTTCTTTCAGTTTCTATATTCCACAGATAATGCTCTATGAAAGTAGTCATCACAGACAAAAAATTGTTGAATCATGTAGAAATACATATTAAATTTAATTAAATATAAATGTTTATCCGTGAACATTATTAATTTTTTTATATAATTTGCTTTATTTCATCTTTTAATTACCGTGATAATAATATGTCTCCCCTTTTACTGTTGTTTAAATGTATTTATGGTTACCGATAGAAGGCGTTGATTTTTTTTGTTAAGTCTACATCGCGGTGTAGAAAATCTTTGACGACGAATGACTTTCGGCCTTTGTTAGCGTTTCGGTATCGCTTCTCGGCCTTTTGGCTAAGATCAAAGTGTAGTATCTGTTCTTTTCAGCTTAATATCTGAAAGTTCCCGCACTGCGGGACCAGTATATTAAACTGATTTTTGTATAACGACGGGATGTTCGGGGCTCGCTCCACTCCCGTCACGGGTCGGCCCGGCATTGCAGTGCCGCCGGGATCGGCCCACTATATCAATCTAACCATACATTACCAGTTAGTCGCTTCATTGAATCCAATTCTAGATTAATTTAATTTAGATTCTCTGTTAATAAGTCTTCAGTGTGGATTTATTGTCAGTACATGTTAAATTCTTACATTCTAGTAGCTGTCGCCCGCGACTCCGTCCGCGCGTGTTTAAAAATAGATGTGGGCCATTCTCAGACCTACTCTATATGCTCACAAAATTTCATGAGAATCGATCAAGCCGTTTCGGAGGAGTACGAGAACGAAATTGTGACACGATAATTTTATATATAAGATATTAAACGATCAAGAATTTGAACTTTATGTTTAATCAAAAATTTATTCATCTTATATTTTATTTTATGTGTTGTAATTGACATAAATAATTTGTTTAATTTTCAAGGGACATTTTCATCAATAAACATTTGTATTTTGTCATAAATAAATTTCTGCTTGTCTGCCGAAAAAATATATTTGGTAGAATCAAGTGCTAATTTGGCTAGCTCGGATTTATTCAATTTAAATGTATCAAAGCAAATGTTATATTCTTGTGTAAGTGATGTAGCAAAAACTCCTTTATCGTCGGTCTGAAAATAAAAATTATCAAGCCTGCTTAAAAGAAAAGAGAAAAAGGAATTAATTAAAACAAAAACTTACACAAAGAATAACAGGAACATCATTACTGTGTAAGTATTTAAAATGGTGTGAAAAATAATCCACAACTGATTTTGTGTTTACATTACTGGTAAGACAGACCTCTGAAACATAAATCTATATAAGTAAAAGTCAATTATTATATTTCTCCTCTTTGCACTCACTATTACACAAAATAAAAAAACTACTATTGTCCTTGTCTCTTTTGGTAGAGAGAAACTGCTAATGTTCGAAGTGTTAGCCCCTGTTACGAAACATACCAACGGGAATTTTTGTTGTACATAACGCCCCCCAAGTTTCATCAGTGCCACCAAAATTTGGGTGAATACATGTCCCATGACCAATTCTATCGGGTTTAAATTGTAGCATTTGAATTATTTCTTCTGGATTACTTATTTCACCACAATGTAGTGTAATCTGGAAATAAAGCAAATGTAGTTTAAATATAGAATGTAATCATGCAACTGACAAAAGGTTTATGTATAATCTGTAGAAAACTGAATCTAATTCATTTTATTTTAATTATATTGCAACAATCAGAATTTAGTAGGAATTATCATTTTTTTCTCTATCAACATATTTTACATATCTACCTATTTTTGAAAATATTACCTTTAAGCCAGCATTTCTTGCTTTCGTAAATATACTAATGAAATCCTCAAACTTTCCAAGGCCTGGATTACCACTGAGTTCCAATCCCACAACAATATCTGGGAACTTCTTATGGTATTCAATGGCTAAATTGGCTATATCTTCTGCCTCTGAAATCCCATTACTTCTATTTATTGAAATAATAAAAGCTGAAATTATATTCAGATTTTCTGATGAATTTCTGCAACATAAACAAATAAAAATGATTGCACCTGTTTAGTAAACTAAAGAGACAAAAGTATGTATGTAAAATAATAAATAAATAAAAACATGTGACTAAAATAACCTTTTATTTAATATAAAAAAAGTAGCTCCGGGACTAATCAATTGAATTTTTTGCTAAT